GCGTCGCTGTCTAACGCATAAGCATTGGCACGGAACCCATAGGAATGTTAACAAAATGTATATTTATTGTTAAAATCTATAAAATATCTGATAATTTGATGTGCATATGTCTAATGATCATTTTTGACCGCCAAATGGCTCATTTTTTTACTTTTTCCTCCATATCTCCGAAACCACTAGACCTACCTTCATGAAAATTTTATCGATTCTTCATCTTGTCAATACAAGTGAAATGTTTTTTGAATTATTCAAATCGGACCCTCCGTTCTCTTAAAAACTGAGTTACCGTTTTCGACACTTTTTGCCCCGTATCTTCGGAACGGCTAGTCCTGCCTTTGCCAAAAACTAATCAGCACGTCTCCTTATCAATACGAATCGAATGTTTTTTGAATTATTCAAATCGGTTGATCCGTGTTCCCGAAATCGTCGACGAAAATTTGTATCCGCACATACATACACACACGTACATACATACACATACACATACACACACACATACACACACACACACACATACATCCATTTTTTCTAAGGTATGCCAAAATGTTCAGAAACCTTTGAAACGTAAAGATATATAAAAATTTTCATTTTCGATTTTTTTGCGATTACTATAACTTGCCCTACGGGAAGTTAATAATAATTCATTATCTGTATAATACGAATTGATAATGTACGTTCTTCCATTTTCATGTTTTGATAATGTATGTTTTGGCATTTTTACGATTTGTGTTGTTATTACTCATTTTTTTGAAAAGATTAATGTTCCTGAGATGATGGTGGAATATGATGAATAAGATGATTATGAAGGTCTTGGAAAGTGTAGTTAAAATGTTAATTATTACATTTTAAGTCATTAGTAAGCCAAGCAATTCTAAATACTTTAAAACCTCTGAGTTTTTAAATCCATAGTACTTTCTTTTCTATTTATGTTTAAACAAACACCGAGTTGTTTGAAAACGTTATGAATTATATAATTATACTTCTTTCCAATATTTATACCTCCTTTACAAGTCATTTTGTTAAAATTGATCAAATATTCCATTTCCATTGGATTTATTATATCACATTCAAATAAACTAGATATACTCAGAGAAAATATATATTCCTATAATATGAATCTTATAAGAGTCTTTGAAGAACGTGTGAATCTTAAAAGACTCAGTTCTTGTTTACCTATCTCAACAATTCTATAATATATTTTTCTCTTTATAGTTTTAATAAATAAGTACAACTAAGTGTCAGTGGCATTTTGCCAGAAGGCAAATTGCTTGAACTTCCAGTATGTGTAAATAATCAACTAGACTAAATCAATAAATTGATATTTAGAAAATTTTAAACAATAGTAACGATGAAATTTGAAATTTTGACAATGCTCGTTATTCCCAGCTTCAATAAATTTTCGTAGGCCTATAATATTTGAGGATGTTCGCAGAGACCATAAAATCTATCATTATACCAAATTTCATCAGAATCATTTAAATTCTAAATCATGGATCAATAAGCAAATTTTGATTAGCACGATTAATTACAATAATCAAACCGTTTTGATTTTCAACAATTAATTGACAAAATGGCAAATCATGTCACACGCACATTTTTTACAAATTTGATATCAAAAGATTCAGAATGAGTTGAAAAGTCGAAAAACACAAACTTCTCCTTCGTAAAGATAGAAATTAACAAAAAATGGCAATAGATAAATTAAAACAAAATATAAAATTTTTTATAACTCTTTGTTGAAGTAGAACTTCTTTATGCGCGATTAGGGTGTAAATCCGTACAAATGCAACGGAAGTGCGTAACGGCAGATAAGATAATATAAGAGTCGAGTGCCAATATGTGCATCATGAGTGTTTCCATATTACTAATAAACATTATTCAAAATTGTTATATGATGTATTTATTTTTACTGAAATGCCATCTTGTACAGTAGCAAAAAAGTTTTACTTCAATCGTGTGTGAACCGTACGCGCACTCTTTTTTTTAACATATCTAATAATGAATATTCTTCTGTGTCGATGTAAAAAAAAAAATGTTTTATTATTGATTTCGGCTTGCTTATGAATCAATAAATATTTATGGTATATATTATAGCATTAAATAATTCATATATAATTTCCACCCTTTCTCATTTCCAAAATATAATACTACTTGTAAACGCAAAATACAATATTACTTGTCTGTATATTATCAAAATCTAAAATGAATAATGACATTCAAAATTCACAAAACACACAAATCCATTTTACAAATTTATGCAATATTGATAAATTTCGCACTCTACAAATGCAGAGAAAAAAAAAACAAAAGCTTTTCAAAAATTCTCAATGATTTTAAACTTTTATTATGAGAAAGCGTAAACCCAAAGAAAATTTCTAGTAACTTTTTTGTGTATTATATTTTTTATATTAAAGATGGGGAACGTGCAGAGCAACAGGATACTCAAGCTCGAGAACATCGAAGAGCTGCAGGTAAAAATAAAGGAAATATAAAGCTCAACTGTAAAAAATAATGGGATATATGTGTATGTGATACATAAATTATTTTGAGGCAGTTATCGCCTCATCTGCTGAAGCAAATGAAGGAGATGGAGCGCAAAACTAAGGAGCAGCACAAGGAAGATGAATATTGGAAGCAGAGATTGGAACGATTAAAGCAGACTCACGAACGAGCTGAACAGATTCACGAGCTCAATGAAAAACTGGCCTTTGAGACGTATACCAAAAACATGAAGGTGATAATAATATTTATTGACTTAATTTTAGATAGTAGATAATTAGTTTTTTACCAAAATATCAAATCTATTTACTGAATTTGATATTAACACGTATTGGGAAGTTCAAGCAACTTGCCTTAAGGCAAAATTTATTATTTAATGTAATTTGCATCTGTAGCAAAATAACCAAGAGGAATGCGATAAGGATGCACCATGTGCTGGACGTCGGGCAAGTGTTATTGATTGCTATAAAACTCATCCAAGAGAAACTATTCACTGTGCAGGTAAATATATATATATATATATATATATATATATATATATATATATATATATGTGGTGTATAATGTGTAATTCATTTACTTCAGGGGTGGTTCGAGATTTCCTAGAATGTATACAACGCAAAAAGAACAATGTAGTTGATGAAAATGATGAAAAAATCCCAGAAGAAGTTTGTTGACCAAGAACAATTTCACCTCAACCATTTTAATAATAGTTTGTCCACAAATAGTAACCCGACAATATCAATTTTCACCCCACATTTAAGATTAAGATGATTCATTTACACTTACCTACTGTAGCCATGCACGTTTGTGGCAAAGAGAATTCCCTCTTTGATGGAACCTGAACAATAACATTATCTCCGACTTTTCTAAGAATGGTTCCAAAAGTACCAGCTGCATGAATTAAACATCCACCAGTACCTGGATATTTTTCAACACAGTGAACAATAGTTCCAACGGGCAAAGCTCCCAGAGGATAAGCATCGCCTTCGTTTGCTCGAACTGTAAAGAAATATTGTGAAATCAATATGTGGTTTTTAGATTCTTATTTAATACACTTGAATATATAAATTTAATTTATAGAAATAAATTGGATATTTGCTATTTGAAAAGTTTTGAAATTATTATTTAAATTAATGTTTGTGGCTGAGAAAAATATAAAATTAGGTACATGTTAAGTTATTTATTAATTTATTTTCAATCTTTTAAATTTATGGAATATTTACTTAGAGATTATAATGCTAAAAATATTATAGATAATTCAACTGAAAAGCTTTAATTTTGAATCACAAAATGAAAAAAAAATATCAACATGTAATTATTTTTTGAATAGATTACCTGGTATCCTAGGAATATGGCATGAAGTCTTAATTAAATCTCCAGCTTTCATATTCTCTGTTGCTAAAATATATTTTAATCGGTCACCAACAGCAACTAATGCTATATTAGCTGTTCGACAACCATCTTCCATAATCTGAAAATTACAAGTTGATATTAATTAACAAATGAGAAACAAGAAACTTTAAAGATTCACATGATTGTATAAGCATATTTATATCTTTATTCGTAAGTAATAACAAATCACTACATTTAATTTAAATATTCTTTATTAAATATTTTGTATAAAATAGATACAAAAGAAATTAAAATATACTATGCTAGTTCTCTGTAAAATTTTTATAAGAATTTTAATTTAATGATACTAGCCTGTATAACTTTTTCAATTTGTGGTGGTCCTTCTTTAGGGCCTACTCGTATCCAATCTATCCAATGATATTTCTGTTTAATTCCTCCTCCTATACCTTTTGCCACAACACGTCCTATAAAAAATAAAATAATCCGATTAATAATATAAAGCAATATATATGATGTACAATCAGATATAAGATTTAGATTTAGAGCAGTTATGTTAGAAAACTTAAGAAGTTTTACAATAGTTTTGTCAATATGATTAAAAATTGATTTACTTGATCACCTGTATATTAGTAAAAGAAGCAAAAGGAAGTATTTTATATAAAAGTTAAGAAATAATTCGAAGTGATGATTTTTTTGAATAATCAATATAGTATGAGAAATCATGCTCATAAAAATATAATTTGTAACACATTGAGGTTATTTTAAAATTTTGAAAAATTATTATATTATGTATTAATTTTATACCTGTAACAGGATCTCTTCCAGCTAAATTAGTTACATCTAAAGGTTTCACAGTATATTTCTCAGGATAATGTACAATTCTTCGATAACTTTTACCATTAACACCAGGTTTTGGTTTTTCTACATATTTCCAAAGGGTTCGTACTAAATTTACACATACTACATTGAGACCTGAATTGAAATTTGTACTAATTTGTTTAAATAACGACACTGACATTTTTTAAACGTTCTATTAATATTTTATCATAATAACACAGGCGCAAAAATGGGTTAATATTTGTAGGTTATGTTTTTGACAGCAAAAACTTTTTTTATGTGTTAAGTGGCTCACTTCACTATGGTATGTTTGGAGGAATATTTAAATAATTCTTAAATCTTGCAATAATTTATAAATATTTCACAATTGTTGTTGTTAAAATACATTAAATATTTTACAGTACTCAAAATATTGCACATAGAAGTAGAATAATTAGTAAGACAATCTTTACGTATCACTATTTTATCATTTGTCACATTTCCACATATTTGGGGTTATGTTTTAGAAGCGTTAAGTGCAACTGAACCAGAACATTGTTTATCATAAAAATGGGCAAAACTAAAACAAATACTGAATCTCAAGATGTTTCCTTGGCCGATGTGACAATCAAGGAGGAACAATTATCATATGAAGACAAATTAAAGAACGCCAGTATCATAGCACAACCTATGGCTCCCAAAAAACTCACAAAAAAGTGTTACAAATTAATTAAGAAAGCTTCAAAACAAAAAACCTTTCTACGAGCTGGTTTAAAAGATGTCCAGTCACGAATTCGCAAGGGAGAGACCGGTATTGTCATTTTTGCTGGAGATGTTACACCAGTTGAAATAATGTGCCATTTGCCGGGAGTTTGCGAAGAAAAAGATATTCCTTATACGTATACACCAAGTCGAAATGATCTTGGATCTGCTATGGGTATGAAAAGAGGTTCTCTCATGATTCTTGTACGAGAGCATCCGGATTACAAAGAGTTATATGATGAATGCAAGGAAGAAATTAATGCATTAGCGATGCCTTTTTAATGATATAGTAATTATATATTAGATTAAAAAGTATAAGTATTTTTATAATTTGAAATGTGTTCGATATAGTAATTTACATTTTGAGCCAATGTAATATATTTTGTGCATATGTGGAAATATATTTAAGTAATAAATTATTTACTCATGTCTTATTTTTCATCCAATTTTAGTGTTATAAAAAAAACAAAATTGGCTGTAATAGTAAATGAATTATACTTTTAAATATTTAGTTAGTTCACTGCTTTGTGCCGTAATTAAGTAGATATATCAACCTCAATACAAAAACTAGTTGTGTATGGCATTGTGCCTTAAGACAATAAAAAAATTGATCTTTGGTACGGAAAGTTCCAACAATTTATTAGTTTACTAGTATTTACTCGTTATTAGTTTTTATCAACTAATAATTAAAATTCCTCATTCCTTTTTCCAATAACTTTTTATTAAAATAAATTTTAACTTTAAAATGTTTATTCTCGTTTTAACTTTTATATTAACTTATGTTAGCACTAGTGTTGCACCAATACTTACAGGCACTATTTAATAATTCAACATACTTTGTAAAATATTTCATAAATTGAATTAGTACAACTAATCTAAATATAGGTAATGAATTTTTGAGAAAAGTAACAGCTATATATGCGCTAGATTTATATATATTTTTCTGAAATAATACTTATATACCTTTGAATCATCGGGTTATATATTAGTCTGGTGCATTCAGTAAGGACTGGGAATCACACATAACATCTTCTCTCAAACTGGTACTCAAAGCGATCAAATCAGACAACCGAGAATCATCGCTTTTGCTGAATGGAAAGAACGAGTTCACAGTAGAATAATCTGTGGTTTTATGTCCATTTTCTGTTTTATAAGACTCTCCAGTAGCCAAAGTGCTATACATTTCGTTAATATTCCCAACCAGTATTCTATTTTGTATATCTATTTGTACTTTTCCACCACTTTTTATCTCCAAAATTGGCATAAATCTAAAATAACACTGAGACCATATTTCTAAATTTGTTATCGTATGGCTCACCCTAATTCTGTTTTCTAACATCTGAGCCATTGCCTGGTTTATAATTTTTTTATCCCTATTAACTGGTTTCGGTGGAACTGGAGGAGGTACTTTAGAAACTTTCATCGGACTTAGCATAGATAGTCCTCCAAATCTCATATCCAAATGTTTAGATATTCGGTGGACGTTTGTTGACTTTTGTTGTATATTAATAGTTTGTACATCTAGTGGTCTCACTGGCGGTAACACAGAATTTCTTTGTACTATATGATTTGGTGTGAAAAGTGGATTTGCGAATAGAGCTATGTCTTTTTCACTGTACTGCTCTCCCCAATCCCAGACTGACCTTAAAACTAACGGAGGCTGATGCTAGAACAAAAATAAAACAATTTAAGTAAATCAAAAAAACTGTGTATAACTATAACAAATGTATTTTGTAAACACGCCAAGAAAGGTTTGTACATATTTGAGAAATCATATCAGAAAGAGAAGTATGAACAATGAAAAAATTGTTTTAAAAATAGGAGTACCTCAAGGAACAGTTAAAGGGCCCTTATTTTATATAAAAATCTAAAGAAAAGGCATAATTAACTATCCAAATAGTGGTGCTTGGTATTGTGCGTTAAGGCAAATTGCTAGAACTTCTTGTACCAAAAATTGAAATTTTTAAACAAGAAACATTTTTCTTTAGAACTATGAAAAAAAATTGATATTTGAGTTTTTTAAAATTATTGAAAAAAATTGATCTTTTTGAAAAATTTGATTTTTTTATATTTTGAAATCTTTTGGAAATTTTGAAATTTTTTTCAAAGCAATCGCAATACGTTAGCTGCGTAGAAAAGAAATATCGAAGCGCGTAAGCGACGAGTCTCAGTCTAACGGACAAACATTGGTACGGAACCCATAGAACAATGAACAAAATTTGTCAAAAAATCGGACGCTCCGTTCTCTCAAAAGCTGCATTACGATTTATGGCTGAATATATTCTCTATTCTACTTACAAATCCTACAGAGCGTCTCTCATGTTCACTGTTGAAGATAAACGTATCAAATATGGTCAAATGTGCAGAATCCCACAATGTAGTCAAATAAGTCTCAGACATCTCCAAGGCAGTCGGCAACTGTTGTGTTATTTGCCAAACACAGTCCAAAAATAATAATAAATAGGGAGCTGTTACAGTATCTTGAACAATCACATGACCTAACCGATCACTAGAAGAAACGAAAGTGCCTATAGTAATTGAGTGATGCTAATAAATTAATGTTATAAATTAATTTACCAAAATGGATGTCCTAGAGCAACCCAGTCTTTTTGAATTAATGATTGAAAACCATTAATTGTCCTAAAATGCGGGTCCACAAGAATTTGTGTGAGACTTGATATGACGCAAATTATATCTCGTCCATCACCTGGAAAAAAAATAATTGTATACATATATATACATATTAGTTTAGTTTGTTTATTTTCTGAGGTTGATAATATATAACTTTATTTTTTGAGGATGATAATATATATCTTTGTTATTTCTATTACTTATGGGATTCCTTGTTCAAAGCTCAAAAAAAGATTAAACTGTAAGTTTTTTAACAATCCTTATTATATACTTTTCCTTTTATTACTAAATATGTAAAAAAAATATCTATACCTTCTTGTAAAACTACAGTTGAACCGGCACAAAGAGAATCAGCTGCCTGACTAGCCAATGCTAAACACGTAGACACATAATATAACCAACGAGAACTATCTAGTAAAGACAACAGTTTTGAATCTTGTACCTAAAAATATAAAAATCAATAAAACAAAGTTAATAAAATCATTTGCCATATAGTATATTTTTTTATACTAACACCAAATTGTCTCAATGAATCAGGCGTACACAAATCTTTCAACTTGGAATAACTATTATAAAGCTCCTTAGCACTGGGAAGATCTTTACATAAATCTAAAACAACGGGTTGTTTCTTTTGGGGATGAGCGGACCTGACATTTTCCAACATAGCATTTTCTTGTGTCCGATCCGACATTGTTGGGTGAATATCAGACATGCGGACTAATGCACAACCTTGCCTGTTGCCCCAAACCTAAAAGAAATAAATAATTACATATATGAATTTATTTTATCATTGATATTATTTTTATCTTACGTATATTGGAATTGCCCCGCATCTGAAATGCCTAGCTGCTTCAATTAATCGTGAATCCAAAACATTGGCAGGCACAATTAATGTTGATGGTAAAGTTGATGATATATCATAACTACTGTTTACTGATGAACATCTCCAGCCCGGTGTCTCTAATCTTACCAATTCGTAATGCCAATCAGCAGCATTTGAAAACATTGCACAATTGTATTGTGGATAATAAGGTTCGCTGTAAGAAAATATAGAATTTATGTAAATATATATCTAAAAATGTTTGTAGATGATCTGAAAGTGTTATAAATGGTCTGAAAATTAAGTAGATAGTCTGAAAATGTTCTAGATAATCTAAAAATGTTGTCAATGGTCTGAAAAATATATTAATCTAACTGAAACTATCATTGTTGCAGTTATAATATCATTTTAAATATTTTAAATTTGTATTTGAATAATTATCCACACACAAATCAAAACAATTAGAAGATGCCATCAATTATGAATTCTAAGCAATATTAATAAAGTTTGTCTTATAAAAATGCTGCAAATTCATTAAAAAAGTTCATTTACTAGATTCAATTACCTCACCTATAATCGTATGCAAATAATCTAGTATGAACAGTCGGGAATGCATGATGCAATATTGAAAGAGTAATTCCTTTGGCTTCATTAATTGGTGTAAATTTAAAACTGAAAGACATCGTCCTCATATTCTGTAAATAATTCACACAAAATTAAACAAAATAACAGATTTTATACCAAAAATGTTGAAACCAACCTTGCAGACAATAAAAAGCCCTTTCACTTTAGAATGTATACTTTGTCCGGGAACAAGTTTTTTTTTCTTATCACCAAGTGTGTAAATCTAAACAAAAAAAAAACAATATACATAATAAATTTAAATGTACCCTCATTTTTAGTTATATATTTACCGCGTCAATATTAGACAGACATATATCATTTTCACCAAGCAAAGCATTTTGTTGATACGTGTTGTCCTGGAATTAATAAAAATAATATATTCACAACAATTTATTGTAACGTAATTCTTTATCTATATAATCCACTTACACAACCACTATCTTTTGTATCGCTAGTAATAAATGTGACTTTAAAATTTGTTACAACTAATAAACCGGTCTTTCCTTGATTTCCATCAGTAAGAGGTGCAAACATTAACACACTGTTGGCTTCGGCAACTGTGAGTTCACCTAAAATGGAAAAAACAATTAAAACTGGTAATAATAAACACTGATTGTATAATTAATAATAATAAAATATGGCTGACATTATTTAAACTCAATTATTTACATGAAAATACAGTATTCTTTTTATGATAATAATGTATTATAGATTGTAATAATTGCCAACGATTTTAATGCAAATTCCAGAAAATAAAGTTTTAAAAGCGATGCACAAATTATATTTTTTTAATGACAAAAAATTATGATAATGATCAATATGTCCATAAACTCCAAATCTGCTCAATTAAATAATGGACCCCATTTTTTATAATATTCTTACGATTACAATTATTACTATAATGTATAATCACCTGGTAATAGTCGTGGTTTCAAAACAGACAGTTCATTAACACCTAGCTCCAAATCCTAAAAATATAAATATATAAGTCGATTTTACAAATAAATTCTAGGTACTAGATAAGGATCAAAATTTATTCGTTGACACTAAGATATTATAATTACCACAAATTCATCTTCATCTATATCTAGATAACTCTTAAAATTGTTACCAGATTTCATGTCGCTCATTGTAAATGTAAACATTTAAAATACATTATCCTTATTGCTAAATTTGTAGTTACACATAACCTGCATTAATTGTTACAATCTAATTATTTCCTTATTAAATTTGGCTTGATTTATTAAATAAATAATTTCTCTTGCATTCCTTACATAATTACATTAAACGTTAAATTATCTTAAACTAATATTATTATTAATTTCAACACTCTGTCATAATTGAAACACAAAAGTCATTTAAAAGGATTGTCAATCCAAGAGGATGCAACATGAGAAAAGAAGTGAATATTATTAATCGAATATTTTTGATTATTAATTTTAATTTGTGTCATGACCGTGAGATTAGGATAGATAAAAATAATGTAACAAATGTAAGCTAATGAGCAAATTTTCTGAGAATGGTTATTGTACAGATAATGCAAATTGATAGAGGTCTCAAGTTTGAAAATTAATACACTAGTAGTGGAATAGCTGATGTATAATTATTCATATACCTATTATAAATATATATACTTTTATCTGCTTTTATTTTTGCCATATCTAGGCAATTGTTTTTAAATAAAGGTTATTTTTGTAATGAGCGTATTACATAATATATTTACATGAGAATTAATCAACATATCTGCAATTCAAAAAATCCAAATCAATACAAGACAATGTTTTCGGAACATATTATTAGTTTAAATAATACTTTTAATACTACGAATCCTATTATTTTGCATAAACTAAATAATTGTGACCTTAGAAAATTTGCTGAATCTATTTTTATAATTTTAAATTCTCTTTGTGTAAATAAACGTAATTCTGCCTTTTTAGCTAATAATACTTATTCTAATTATATCAATTATTCCTGATTGTGAATTAATCTGTTTTTCAATATTTAAACTTTTGCCAATTTTTTCAATTTATTATTTGTTTTAATATTTCACTACTTTGTATTATTTTCGTTTTTTTCATCCTTGGTTCTCTTTTTTGAAATCGTGTAGCATCTACCAGAATTTGATCCTGAATCTATATTTGTAAGCCCCTTCGTTTCTATACAGTAAACTTTTAGTTTATTATTTTTTATAATTGTTTTTTTTTTTTTAATGTTTAAACTAATTTGTTCAGAAACCTTTGAAACGTACAGATATATAAAAATTCTTATTAACTTAGGATAAGTTATAGCAATGGGCAAAAAATCAAAAATATTTTTTTGCATTGTGTGTATGTATGTATGTGTGTGCATGTGTATGTATGTATGTGTGTGTATGTGTAGACAATTTTTCGTCGACGATTTCGGGCTTATGGATGAACCGATTCAAAAAATTTAAAAAGCAATCGATTCCTATTGTTAGGGAGATGTGCTGATTAGTTTTTGGCTAAGGCAGTTCCAGCGGTTTCGGAGAGATGAAGCAAAAAGTGCTAAAAGAGTCAGTTTTTAATAGAACGAATCAACCGATTTGAATGATCCAAAAAACATTCGATTCGTAATGATGGGGAAATGTGATAATTACATTTGGTCAAATGCAGATCCAGCCGTTTCGCAGATACAGAACTAAATTAATAAAAAATGACAGTTTTTGAGAGAATTAAGCATCTGATTTGAATAGTTCAAGAAGCTTTCTGCTTGTGTTGACGAAACAATTGCTTTTGGGGAAAAATATTTTTTTTTAGTTTATATTTTTGCTTTCAAACGATTCAAAATGACTTAAAATGTTGATATCAAAGAAACAAATCATTTTCTTTGACGAAAGCATAAACTTTTCCATCGGGAAATTAATACAAAATATCAAATTTTAAATTTGCTACCAGAGGTCTTACTATTTATTTACAAACTAGTTCAACGTAAAAATTACACATGGAGGTGTTGATGTAACTGTCAATTTATACGACACTAGCGCTGCGTGCGAATAAAAAGGCACTGATATATAATGTAAAATGCATAGATAAAAGAAGAGTATATATGGTAAAATGTAATAATTTTTAATAATATACAATTAATATTAAGAGTTTATTATAGTATTAATTTAATTTTAGTACTGATAATTTTATTAAAATGCATTTTGCGCGGTGGCTAGTAATACTAATACTAATAATAATAGGCGCATCCATTTGCATCCATTTGCACCCATTATCATATAATTATAATTTTAATTTTTTAGCTAAAAATTAACGAATAACAGCAGAATATTGAAATTTGAATTTAAATTTAAAATAGTACAATATCTATAAATTCAATCTATTATTCCTGCCGAGAGAGGAACACTGTGGGAGCGTGACGGCGCGAAGGTCTAATCGAAATGCGCAAATTCGGAATCGAATTAGCACAATAACAAATGGTGCAATTTCATTTAATAAAACAATATACCTTTAACCAAATGTCAGACATCATAATTAAATTTCACCAAAATCTTTAATTTAAAGCCCGTATTTAAACCGGATGTATATTTGTTCCGAAAAAGTGTCTCGTTGGCTACTCTCGGCAAATCAACTTCAGTCAACTCATCAATCGTAAAAGTCAAACGCCGCTAAAGTAATATTTTTTTAGTTTTTCTCATAAGTCAAAGCGAAATGTATAAATAATCATTTTGGAATATACAATTGCGTTTGATTATAATCTAGTTTTATATGTATTATGTGATTTGACGGTAGATTAATATTATATATAGTAAATTTTAATTTTTATTATCAAACTTTGGAAACCTGTCAAACACCGCTTTTTGCATTAAAAGTAAGTATAATTTGATTTAAACTTATTTTTTCGGGGTTTTTATTAACTATGTTTGTTTATAGAATCATTTGATGTGATTATATTTACTTTATCACTTATCTGTGAATTTATTCTATTTACTTAATGACATCATGTATTTTTGTCAATTTTCAACTACTTGGAGAATGAATCATTGTGTCACGTTGACAAGAATAAATGCTCTATATTATAAACTTTGAGCCTTTTGTAAGAGACTAGCCTTCAAATTGTGTTCTCACATACATTACATACATTCTTCATTTTATTGTTTTATGGACATGTTTTTTGATTTATTGGTTTAATGTGCAATGTAATTTTGCTCGCAGGCTACAAATCTGTATAGAAAATTGTATAACATATGTGGTATTAAGTCTGTAAAGTATATTTCTGTGTTTATATTTTGCAACATCGAACAGTTTAATTTAATGAACATAAACTCAATATTATAACCGTAGTAAAACTTCTAGTCTTTATATCTTTATTTATATTCATAGATCAAATCTGTATTGCTATTGATGTACAATTTTGGAATATATACATTTATTATCTCTTCATGTACTTTTTTAAATCATTTATCATGTAGGGCTTTATAAAAATATCTTTTAAATCATAAGGTTATTGTGCAATGTAATTTTTAGGCAGGAACAAGTCTATAATTTCAATTATGATACTTTAACATCAAATTTGATAACTGCCTAATGTTTTGCTTGTTTATTCTTTTATTCAAATTTATATAAATCCTAACTCTCTATTATCTAATTATCTTTTCTATTTTCGTTTTCTTTTCGCTCAGGAATATTATTAAGATGGATATTTACACTGGTCTCATTTTCGGAGTGATAGTTATATTATGTGCGGCAGTATTAGCTTCAATTAGTCTATTCGGAATGAAAACTAAAACTTACGATGAAGCTAAAGCTGAGAAGAAGACAGTTGTCGAAACTGTGAAACTGGCTCAGCACCAAAAGCAGAAGAAGAACAAGAAATCTCTCAAAAAGGTGAAAGTTAAATATAAATCAAAATATTATGATGAATATATCAAATTATTTTATTATTACTTTAGACAAAAGAAAATAAAGAAATCATCAATAAGGATTTGAAAGACGAAATCAAACAAACTGTTGTTGATGATGAAGATGAGGAATTGGTTAAAACTGAGACTAAACCGGTTCATGTAGAGTTTCAAGAACCGGAAATTATACCAATTGATGATGATGTTGTTCAGTTAAAGGTAAGAAAATTGTGGGTGAGATTATAATTTATTAATAGAGTAATACATAAGAGTATTTAATATTAAAGTAAAAATGACTTACAGAAAAATAAAAAGAAAAATGCACCAGCACGTCCAATTTTGGTGAATAAAGACGAGAACAAACTTTCTGCCCCACCATCAACATCCAGTTCTACAACTTCGTTGAATCATTTTGAAAATATTCATCCTAAAGATGATTTGGAGAAATTGAAAGCACAATTGGTAATAATGATAATAAATAGTAGGTTGCTTGAAAGATTCCCTTTTTCTACCTTGTTTATTATTTTCATTTCCATTTTGTTACCATTAATCACTTTTTTATACACTTTTATGCATTTAACTTTTGATTCCATGTTACCCGATCATGCATTTTGATTTTAAGTTTCTTGCATAAATCATCACCTTTCTTTTCTCACATAAATCATCAATCATCTACATTCTTCTTCTTACCAATCCTTTAATCCTAGAGGAGGCACTCTTTTTATAAAATGAATCCAATACAATTTCCTATACTTTTAACGATAATGCTCAGTAAAGTATTTTTCTCGCCTGCTCTTCTGAGCACTTTATGATATCTTATATCAATCCATATCAAAACTGTACAGATACTTTTTACTTTTGTCAGCCTTTCTTAAAGTCCATGTCTCTGATCCATATAGAGCTATGCCATAACACTTTAGTAGTAACTTACAATTGTTAATATAAAATGATATGTAAATGCTATTTATTTTGTATTTTTTTATTAATAGTAATTTATATTAATATTGCAGGCTTCAGATCCAGTAAAATCCAAAACTGTTGTTAAACCAACAAAAGCTAAGTTGGAAGCTATTGTTTCTAAGGACATGAAAGGTATTGATATAATTTTCATTTGTTCTTTACTTTGCACACTTTTGCATTAGAACATTTTTATTGAGAAATTAATACAATTGACTACTTTTATTTTTATCCATTATAAATATATATATATATATATATATATATATATATATATATATATATACATATACAGTAGAACCTCCTTATTCGCGGTTCCTTCATTCGCGTTTTCGCTATTCGCGGCTAAAAAAATTGCGACCCGATACCTTTATTCGCGG